CCAATTATTGAACTCATGGTTGATGCTACAACAGGGCATGAAGCTATGTCATTCATGGATGGGTCCTCCGGATACAATCAAATCAGAATGTCTCCAAAGGATGAAGAGTGTACTGCTTTCCGAACTCCAAAAAGGATATATTGCTACAAAGTGATGCCCTTCGGTCTGAAGAATGCCGGTGCCACCTACCAACGTGCGATGCAAAACATCTTTGATGACATGCTTCATAAGAGGGTTGAATGCTACGTCGATGACTTGGTGGTAAAGACGAAGAATAGGCGTTATCACCTTGAAGACCTTCGAATTATTTTTGAAAGGTTGAGAAAATTCGACCTGAAGATGAATCCACTCAAGTGTGTATTTGGAGTTACCTGAGGAAAGTTTCTTGGCTTCATTGTGCGTCATCGTGGAATTGAAGTTAATCCTGCAAAGATTGACGCCATTCAGAAAATGCCCAAGCCAAAGAACTTGAGAGAGCTTCGAAGTCTCCAAGGAAACTTAGCATTCATCCGGAGGTTCATCTCTAATCTAGTCGGACGGTGTCAACCCTCCAATCATATATTGAGGAAGGATATCCCTTTTCATTGTGATCAGTCATGTCAAAATGCTTTTGAAAGCATCAAAAAATACTTGCTGAATCCACCTGTGTTAGGGGCGCCAATGCTTGGGAAGCCGTTGATACTCTACATCGCGGCACATGAACGTTCACTTGGAGCACTGCTTGCTCAAGAGAATGAGGAAGGAAAGAAACAAGCCTTGTACTACCTTAGCCGAACTCTAATAGGAGCTGAGATGAACTATACGCCTGTTGAGAAAATATGCTTAGCGTTACTTTATGCGATAAAGAAGCTAAGGCATTATTTTGAAGCATACACCATCAAACTCATCTCTCGAGCAGATCCCGTGAAGTTCGTGATGACTCGACCTGTTCTTTCTGGACGCCTAGCAAGATGGTCCATATTGTTTAACCAATATGAGATCACATACACACCTCAAAAAGCTGTGAAAGGACAAGCACTAGCCAATTTTCTGGCTGATCACCCTCTTCCGGCGGAATGGGAGCTTTCGGATGAGTTTCCAGATGAAGACGTTTTGTTCATCGAAGAGTTTCCACCATGGACAATGTTCTGCGAAAGATCTGCATGTCGTAACGGTGCGGGGGCAGGTGTTGTGTTGATCTCTCCAGAAAGACAAGTCTTTCCATTCTCCTTTGTTTTAGGTGAAACATGCTCCAACAATGCCGCAGAGTACCAAGCTTTGATCGTCGGTCTCGAAATGGCATTAGAAATGAATATTCTACAGTTGGAGATCTACGACGACTCTAAGCTAATCATCAACCAACTTTTGGGGAGTTACGAGGGAAAGAAGGAAGATCTATTGCCATACCATCAATACGCTTCTGGTTTACTTGAAAAATTCGATCAAGTGTTCTTAAACCACATCCCAAGAGAAGAAAATCGCAAGGCTGATGCTTTGGCTAACTTGGCCACGACGATGGCTCTTGGAGAGAATGAGTCAACAAAGGTATATGTGTGCCATCGATGGGTTATTCCTAGACTTCTGGATCTTCAAGTCAACGAAAGCCATCATACGTCTGTTCGAGTGATTGAAGAAGAAGATTGGAGGCAACCACTGATAGAGTACCTTGAACATGGAAAGTTACCTGAAGATCCGCGACAAAGAACAGACATCAAACGAAGAGCACCGCGATTCATCTTCTATAAGGGGACATTGTTTCGCCGTTCTTTTGAAGGACTATTCTTGCGATGTCTTGACAAAGAAGAAGCCCGCCAAGCGATGGAGGAAGCACATTCTGGCTCATATGGATCACACCAATCTGGTCCCAAGCTCCATTTTTGCATCAAGAGGATGGGCTACTACTGGGCGATGATGGTGAAGGATTGCATGGATCATGCCAAAAGATGGCAAGCGTGTCAATTTCATGCAAACTACATCCACCAACCTCCAGAGCCTCTTCACCCAACTGTAGCTTCATGGCCTTTTGATGCATGGGGACTTGATGTTGTAGGACCACTTCCAAAGTCATCAAAGGGACAGATGTACATATTGGCCGCTACGGACTACTTCTCTAAATGGGCGGAAGTTGTTCCACTCAAGGAGGTGAAAAAGGAAACTGTCGTCGACTTTATCAAGTCATATATAATTTTTAGGTACGGCATACCAAGATACATAATCACCGATAATGGAACGCCATTTGACAACAAGCTCGTAAAGAGTCTATGCGAGAAGTTCGGTTTCAAGCAACATAAGTCTTCAATGTATAATGCACCTGCCAACGGCCTCGCTGAAGCTTTTAACAAGACGCTTGGTAACCTTTTGAAGAAAGTTGTTGCAAAGAACAAGAGAGACTGGCATGAGAGAATTGGTGAAGCTTTGTGGGCATACCGGACAACCTTCAGAACTGCTACACAAGCAACTCCTTACTCTTTGGTATATGGCGTAGAAGTAGTCCTGCCGTTGGAGCAACAAATTCCATCATTGCGGATAGCAATCCAAGAAGGGCTCACGTCCGAAGAGAATGCTCAACTTCCCCTAGCAGAGTTAGAGGCATTGGATGAGAAAAGATTGGAAGCGCAACAAAAATTGGAGTGCTATCAAGCTCGACTAGCTAGAGCCTTCAACAAGAAAGTGCGGCCACGATCATTCCAAGTGGGAGACTTAGTCCTAGCTGTTCGACAACCCATAATCCTCAACAAACGCATAGGCGACAAGTTTACCTCAAAATGGGATGGGCCATATGTTGTGAAGGAAGCATATTCAAGTGGCGCATACAAAATTGTCGATAAGGATGGTCTCAGAGTTGGTCCGATCAACGGAAAATTTTTAAAGCAGTACTTCCCATGAAAGTCACCTACGCTCCTCGACGTACGAGCCTAAACTGCAAGTCATGACGCTCCTTGATGCATGAGCTTAAACTGCATGTTGCTACACTCCTGGCACGCATGAGTCTAAACTGTGTACGGCCAAAAAAAAAAAGGAGTCTGCTAGGTTGAAAACCTCGAAAGAGGCGTCCTGGTCAAAAGTCAAGACCAAAAAAAAAAAGAACAAAAAAAAAAGAGTCTGCTAGGTTGAAAACCTCGAAAGAGGCGGCCTAGGCAAAAGTCAAGACCAAAAAAAAAAAACGAACTCACTCCTCTGAACTACGTTATGACTTGATCCTCTTTACCGAGGTACGTAGGCAGCTTAGAGTTTCTTTCTGAGTTCAGTCGCATGAGTTTTAAAAAAATAAAAGCTTGGCGTCATCGGATCATTACATAAATTCTTTCAAGTGTAGAGGCACATATTTACGAGGAAAAGAGACAATTTTTTTTTTGAAGTATAAAAGATATTTTATTGCTTCAATAGTACAAAAGTTGATACATCAAAAAAAAAAAATGTAGAGACAAAAGGAATTAGACGTTTTCCTATACAAAAGCCTAAGTCATGAAAATGATCGTAAACTAGGCTTTGTGGCCGACTCGTCTTGAATGCTTCTTCCAAATCCACATGACGTCTCCACATTTTAATACACTATCCTCAATGCCTCGTATATAAGAAGTCATCTCTCTTGAAAAAAAAACCTTCAATCACCAAGGGAGCCGCCATTGATAAACTTCAAAACCGTCAACAAATCAAGTGCAACAGTTAGTGAAGGGGTGACTCCGCATCTTGTATGACATCTCGGACTGATATCTGGACTCATTGAACGTCTTCACAAGTCTGCAAAAGAAATAAACAAAGAGATAAGATTCGTGATGATAGCCGAATCCATTACAAGGCTGTAGAATCAACTTCAAAAATATTTGTTAGGATAACTAAGAATGAATGGATCTTCATCTTCAACAAGATTATAGTTCTCGACGTCCGAATTTCATAGGATCAAACTGTTGGTGATTTCGACGCACCTAGTTCACGATACAGTTTTTCTGGCCGAAAGCACGCAAACCTGAATGTTCCCTGCGATCAGTTCAACTTTCAATATTTTCTGTTTCTAGCCCGAGAAGAGTTCCGAGATGGAATATTTATGTGTTGCAGCTCTAGGAGTTTTCTCTCCAACGGAACAAACGGATTGTAATTTCGATACTCCTAGCTCAAGATACAATTATTTTCGCTGAAGAGACGCAAATCTGAAAGTTCACTGCAGTTATGTCGACGTTGCGAATTTTCTGTTGATAGCCCGAAAGGAGTTCTGCCATGAAATTTATAGGTCCTTCAGGTCTCTGAGTTTTCTTTCTAACGGTGCAAACGGATTGTAATTCCGACACTTGTAGCTCGAGATATGAATTTTTCCACTATAGTGCGCAAAGCTGAAAGCAATTTCGTGGACAGATGGGTCAAGTTCAGAAAGTTGCTGCGGACAATCTGCTAGGAATTCTTCTATGATATCTTCATGATTTCATCATCTATGAGTCTTCTTTCCAATGGCATAGACGTCTTGCGATTCGGACGCCCCTAGCTTGAGATATGTGCGTTCCAATGATAGCATGCAGTGCTGTGAAGCCGAAATGACAGACTTGTGTACCGCCTTCAAAAATTCATTCCGACTTGTCCTGATGGAATCTGGCCCTGAATTTTGGATATGTCACTATGGTGCAAGTTTTGATTCTGCAGAACCAAGCGGATTGCAGTTTGGACATTTCCAGTTTGAGATACGATTTTTTCAATGCGAGCATGAAAGGCTATAAAGCCAAAACAGCAAAGACGCACCAAGTGCTTGCTCGCCGAAGTTGGAAAAGCCTACTCCAGTTGTCTCCCTCGCCAGCCTGCAACAATGTGATATGGTACATGTCGCACTCACTCGCCAAGGATGAAATATGTTCGCTCGAGCTCCAAGCCTCTTCCTCGCCAAGTCGCAAGGCTGAGATGCACCATGTTCTCGCTCGCATGTTCCAAAGTGGGAATATCGCTCGTCGATCAAGCTCGCTTAGGAATACTCTACATGTCTCTCGTCAAGCTGCAAGAAGGGTTGTACCAAGTTGCTATCGTACTCTCTTGAAAACCTGCAAAAATAAGAAAAGATTTTGGAGCCCTCGGTGCCAACAACACGAAGTTTTTAGATACGGTGCCAATAGCACGACGATTCAGCACCATGGCGCTTCAGTTTGACATTAACAAAAGGACATCGGAAGCAGCACAACAGTCTAGTTCAGCATGGCAAGTATCGGTGCCCATGGCACGAAGCTTTAACTTGCAACAAAAAAAAAAAAGAAAAAAAATTGGTCTTGAACAGCGATCTCCATTGCTCCAAGTTTGCAAATTTGGCTTCTCATGCTGGTGGAGTCCTTCAATATGGATTAATTCTGAATAAAGAAGCAATACAGGAAGCACAACTACGTCCCCAAGTTATTGGATGGTGTGCGCTTGGTTGCTTCTAGTTCTCTTTTCTACCAATTTAAATTGAATGATCTGCTGCATAAAAAAAGAGAGAGAGCAAGTCATGATTTAAGAAAAAAATTAAGGAGACAAAAAAAAAATGAAAAAAAGGGCGAGTGCAAGCAGTTCGTGGAAGCAAGTGGAGATGGAAGAAGCTCTAGTATCAGTTTTGATGTTTCGATCCAGTTAGACAGAAGAGCTTGATATTCAATTGTGGAAAACTAGTTGGCTTGGTCCTCTTTTTATAGAGATCTAACAAAGTATGATTTATAAGTGAATAAAACAAGAAGTTAGAATCCTACAAGGAAAAAAAAACGTTGCTTTACAAGGTGAAGAAATATTTTTTTTTTCCTTGTTTGCTTTTGGTACAAAGGAAAAGAGGGGTAACGTCATTTTTTTTCCTTGTTTGCTTTTGGTAAAAAGGAAAAGATGGGTAAAGTGAGACAAACATGGAAAGTTGTCTATAATTTACAAGAATTTTTCAATCACCATAGTTTGTAATTGCTACTTTCAAACCAAATAACATTGCGCGCGTGTTCGACAACCGAAGTATTGGAAAGTTAATTTTTGCTTGGAGCTTGTATTTAGCACTTCACATAAATGTGCAACTGGATAAAAGTTCGGATTTGACTGATAGAAGTCGCCACAAGTGCTAAAACAAAAATATCAACATTCATCGGTACTTCAAGTCTCGCTTTTCGTTTCAGCAAGCCTACACTTCGACAAATCTTGAAGTAGGGGGCATCTGTAGACATGTAAAAATTATTTAATCCACACAAAATTTGGATTAAATTCTAAATTACTTTGGGTCGAATAATTAATTTGAACTTTACAAGTTAAATTAGTCCATTTTATTATTTTGAGGCCCAAAGTCCATTTCATCTTCAGGCCCAGACTTATGCCATGTGACATGGCATATCAAGTCAAACTCCAGGCCAATAAGGTGACGCCACGTGTTAAATGATGTGGCAATCCAAGTCAAAAAGCAAGAACCAACCACAAGTCGCCAAGTGGCTAAAATGACACTGACCAATCAAAATCAAGCAAGAGAGTTCTTATGTAGCTTGACTGTCCATCCTCTACAACTATAAATAGAGGGGTTACATAACTCTCAAAGGACATTCAGAGTTGGAGAAGAACACTCCGCAATTGGTGAGGGCATCCACAAACACAGAGATCAATCATCAACAAAGTGTCGCTCGACGTTTTTGGCGATTAAATACATCACAAGGAGGTCTGCATCATCCTACATTCGAGAAAAATGCTTCTCAAGCCCTCGAATCACGGAAATTTTAGAGAGGAGAATCAAGGGATACATAGAATTGTACTCACAAATATTTATCAATAAAATCTCTTTTTCTTTATATTATTTTTGTTGCAGTTTATTTTTCATCTTACGAAAATTTGTTGCGAACAATCAGCCTTTAGAATAGATAAGAAAAAAGAAAAGCGTTAGCCATTACATTGATGTTAGAAGTTACAACTTCTACGTTGCATACATGAGCTGCAAAGCTCGATTCTGGTATTTAAAAATAGCTATTACTATATGCCATCCCTAAAAACCTTAATTACCAAACAAATATACAATCCCACATTTTCTCATCCTGGTATTTCTGCTGAAGAAGTGAGAATTAATAAAGCCGACCCCAACTTGTTTGGGACTAAAGCATAGTTGTTGTCGTTGTTTACTCTTATAGTAATAGATAGCAGGGTAAAGCAAGTCCTTGTCCACAACAATCCTCACCTGCGGTCCTATGATTTGGGGATTTTCCACTATGGCTAAGATCATACCTTACCATCTATAAATATACGTAGAATAATTATCTTTCTTGTGCATCAGTATAAAAGTTATCTACAACTTCTGTCATAGCAACTGCACCCACACCTTTTCCCCCTAATTTCAGCAGCATGTCGTTGAACGTGGTTTTCAAATGTCTTCTCCCCTCCGGTTGACTCCAGAGAACGTTAAGGACATTCGGGGAATAGACAGGTGCAGGCTTCGCGACCAACTGGCAACCATCTACTTCTACTCCGTTCAGCCTTGGCACAACCATAATAAACGTAATGAGAAACTAGGATGAGGAAACAGATGTGCTAATTAAGGGGAACCAGTTTATGATAACAAGCAATTACCTGTTTAAAATCTTTAACATTCTTGGCCATTCAGAAAAATCGAACCGCACATCCACGATGTTGCTAGCTCTTGGGAGGACTTCCCTAACATTTCCAAGAGATCGGCAAACGGAAACCAGTTTACTCAGTGGAAAATGGATATTTGATATCCTTATAGTGGTTGTTCTTGGTGTATCAATTCTTAAGATCGGTAGTCTTTCTCCAAGAACGATCAAAGAAGCCTTCTCAACAGCAATTTCTTTGTCCTCAACTGTCTGCAGAAGAAAGTTCCGAATGGGAATAACTAATTGCTAATATAACAAATCCACTTATGTTATTAAAAACATTAACATACAAGAATTTAGATGAACTTAAAATAGGGAAACCAGAAGGAAATTCATTTCATTAGAAATAAATTACCTCAAATTCCACATAAGCAGTAGAGCTTGACGAACCAAAGAAGATTCCAGTGATATTGCTTCTGCAGAAGGCGAGCGCTTTTTCAATGTCATGAAAGGACACATTGTGTTTCAAATTTTCTATCATAGCTGTCCTTGAGGGATGCTTTACTAACGAGGTAGGAGCGTCTGGACAGCCAATTAAATCAGGTATACACATCCTCTCTCTCCCTTTCGGAGGAGAAGTGGCCTCCAAAACTAGTACTACTTTCGCCATGCTCACATCAGACGTTTCAAGAGCCTTTTCCCTTCCTTCTTCTGACTGCAGTAGCCAAAAAAATGGTAGATGAAAGCTAGAACGTGAAAGTGGCGATTCACTTCATGAGCGTACACTTCCACAGGTAACATCTTATTCACAGCGGCACAAGTTGGTGCTGAACATATCATTTTGTGCAAGTCGTGTGAAGAATGGAAGCAAAAAAGGAGTGCAGAGAGGAACATACTTTCATAAGAAAATCAAACCCTGACAGATCATCAGTTTTAACCTCTCAAGCTGAACATACAGGGTGTATTGATAAATAATTAACCCGTTTATCTACCAGTTACATAAATTATTAAGAATTTTAGTGTAAATATTGGTATACTATTAGATCAATTTCACTTTTACATCTAATCATTAAGCGACAGGGCAGTAGTGCTTACACCGTCTGTTTTCATGCTGAAGTGCAGCTCATTTCATATTGGTCTGAAAAATACATGAATTTAATTATTTTTTTAATTATTTTTTCTATTTTGTTTCTGTTTTTGTTTTTCTTTTTGTGCTTGCGCTTTTTTCTTCTTTTTGTTTCTTGTTGTGGTATAATTTGAATAGACACAACTTAAGAGAGTCGAGAACACAGCCGTGCAGCAAAATGGTCAATGAATTAGAGTACTGAAAACGTACCTCAAAATAAACGTGTGCAACTTTAAACTTAGTTGATTTGACACTTGGAAACACAACCTTCTTAATAGCCCCAAATTTCTTGAAAGCGTTAGAGACATCACTTTCTGTAGCTTTTAAGTTCACAAACTTTACCGTCACTTTATTTTCATCAGATAAATTTTCAGAAAAAGAGGCATTCTCACCCTTAGTTTCTATTGACTTGCAGAAATCAACCCCACTGTTCAGATATTCGAGGACTGTGTTAGATCGTCTACTCTTTTCCTTCTTTCCAACCACGCCCTGAGATGAAGTCTTACTTTTTTTCCTGTCAAATGTCTGCTTATCAGTTTCTGCTTCAATACTGCTATTTGCACTCCTTTCCCTAGAACTGTCAACAGTTCTGTCGACAACATTTTCCTCAGTCCTAACAACAGATGGCTCCCGAGGTGGCAGATCGCTGATACATTCTATTAAGCTCTTTATGACACCACTCTTTCCGAATGCATTCTGAGAAGTTTCATTAAGATGCTCAAACTCTCTAGATACAGATTGCTCACTCTTTGGGTAGACAACCTGATCTCCTGCTCCATGATCAGCCTCCATGTCGTGATCCCCTAAACTCATCATCTGAAAAGAATTACCGGATACTGATGAAATTTCCTCCATTTTGGACTTAGAAATTAAGATAGGACTAGAGATGTCTTCGGATGGGCGGTGTTCATTAGCAGAGGAAACTAATTTTTTAACAAGAACATCCCGCCATTTGTTGGTTGCTTCGCTCGGCAAGAAACTATTAGAATATGCAACCTGCTCGAGATTGGATGTTCCTTTCTTCTCAAAAATTGAAACAATGTCTGATATTACTTCCTCTTTTTGCATTTGGTCATTCTTACCCTCCAACTCTGATTCATTATTTCTCTTTTCCTGAGAAACATCTAGTAAGTTGGCCACGCTCTCTGAGCCACAAGATGAATCGGAGGTATCACTCCTTTCTAGTTTTAAATTTGACGAAAATTTACACGACTCCATAATGTCTTCCTCATATTTTGACAGGATCTCTCCACTAGAACTGATTTGTACACTTGATGATGCTTCCTCAGCTAACAATGGTTCTCTCTCTTTCTCAACTAACTCTGAACGGTGGCAAATGTTACTAAGTTGAACACTGTCATTGCAATTGGCTTTTCCGCAGATAGATGAGGCACCAGAAGACATGCCATTTACTCTTTGGCCAGCAATTTCTTCACATTCTTTTGAGGAAACATTTAATAATTCTCCAGGCGCAGCAGAATGTGAAGTGT